CTGAAGTTCCTGAGTCTTCGAAGTCGAAGACAGGCAACTTTAGGGTTTAGGGTTTAGGGCCTGTCTGTAACCCTTACGGAACCCTAGAAACCCTCATAGAACACAAATAAGAAGCCATTAACCAAACCCTGTCCTACAGTTCAGGAGCTAATCACACCTGATAACAAGCGACGCTCACATAAGCTCACAGCTCGTGGCTTGGGCGCTCGCTTTACAAACATGCCAAGCAGTGACTGCAGCAGCTTGAAAGGTCGGTTCCGTGTTGATGCATATGGGGGTGTGGTAACCACCCTAAGCCCTCGATCTCCTTAGGGTTATTCGGAGGAGAATTGTGGTGCTCCTACGTTTTGGGATGGAAAACGAGGCTGCCCTTCTTTTCTCAAAGACCCTGGGATGCTGAAGCTACCTTGCAGCTATCTTCGGGTTGTGGGCGCTGCCCGGGGAAAAACCCCGAAGATGATGCATACTTAAAGGATCATGGGACTTAAATACTAGGGTAATAATTAGGGTAACTGTACTTATAACTACTTATAACCCCAATTAAGGTACTTGTAGGCTCACTTACTAAGTCCCATGATCCTCCCAAGTAGACCCTAAACCATAAACCCTATAGATCCCTTTAAGGAACCCTATAGATCCCTTTAAGGACCCCTATAGATCCCTTTAAGGAGCCCTTTAAGGAACCTTACTAAGTCCCATGATCCTCCAAGTAAGGCCGAACCTAGAGACTCCGAACCCGCATTAAAGTTGGTAGAAGCGTACCTTCATAAGGTAAAAGCCAGAAAGTTGGAATATGATTATCCTAACCCTTCTACGGTAAATTATAGGGTCTCCTACCATGAAACCATATTCCAACTTTCTGGAGTTCCCCTGTATGAGAGTTTGCGAAAAGTAGGGGTACCTTATTTTGGGGGTCCTTGTAATAAGGATCCTACTATTTAGGGTACTGTATTAGGCTCCCCCATTTTCGGAAACTCCCATATGTCAAGGTACATCTCATAAGTCATGGGGGCCTGGGTTCTCCGCATCGTGACGGTGACGATCCCAACGGAGATGCTGCTGACGACAATGGTGGCAATCATGAAGAGGACGCGAAGGACACGATGACAATGGTGGCGATTGTTTTGTAACAGCGATGATGAGGGTGACCATGGCGCTCATCCAGAAGATGACAACGGTCTGGCGGGCAAGAAGATGAACAATCTGCGCAACATGAAAGGCGACGACGATGACAATGATGGCTATGTTGACGATGATGACGATAATGATTTTGATGATGGCATGGACAAGGATGATGCAGATAATATTGATGAACATGGCAGTGGGTAATGTGAATCTTTTGCGTCTTTTGGCGGCGGCGGCGGCAACAGCAGCTCAGCAGCAGCGTCGGCATTTGCAGCTGCTCAGCATGTGTGCACAGTGTGTGCGGGGCATCCCTACTTCGAGCGCCAGCTACCGGAAGCGCGACAACGTGTTTGCTTTGGTAACTTGTTTATCCCCAATCAAGTCTTTGGGTGTTTGGGTCATTGGTGATGTAGGCTGGTCATCCTAAACCCCCAACCCTAAACCCCAGACCCTAAACCCCTAAACCTGCGAAGGATTTACGATGCCTGCGTGTAATTAACTTGTTTGCTCATGCAGTCAAGGCGCCACTGGCGATGTATCAACGCCAAAGTGCTCATGAAAAAGATGCCTCGCCAAGGCGACCCTAAACCGTAAACCTCTGCATGTCTATATGTCTATACATACACATATGTTGTACAGACATATAAATACATGTATGTCTGTGTGTCTGTCTGTCTATCTGTCTGTCTGTCTGTCTGTATGTATGTATGTATGTATGTGAATGTCTGTGTATATACATATATATATATGGTGTGTATACATATATATATATATATATATATATGTATGTGTATATATATATATATATAGTTGCGTGTATGTACGTGCACATATATATATATATACACTTGGTCATTAATGTGTGGATTAATATATACATTCAAAACTCAACCCTGGACGCAGGCCTTTGGCTTGCTTTTTTATGCTCCAAGGGTTTGTGGGTTTGGGCTTAAGTGCGCTGCGGGTTGAGAGGCTTGCTCTGAGGCATTTGCGGACGCCTGTGGACGATATTGCTTTAGATGCTGTCGTTGCTTTTAGGTGTAGACGGTGCAGATGTGTTCTAGGTGGGTGAAGAATAAGGTTGGCAGCGTTCGCGGTTCCATAACACAGTGGCGATGAAACTGCTCTTTGGCTTGCTGCAGGTCATTGGCTTCCTTTCGGGTTTAGGGTTCTCGTTTCGTAGTTCCTTGTATGGCTCCGCCAGTTTGATATTCAGGATTCTATAAGGTAACCCTAAAAAGGAACTGCATTGGAAAGTATAGGTATACATACAAAACAGTTCAGCTCAAACTCGTGCACAGATCGACGAAACATCCTGCGTGATTAGAAATACTGCAAAATGCTGAAGATTATCGCTGACCGTTCCGACTGCGAATTCGGTGAGATCGACCCCTGTCCCCTGCAGGGTAGAGGAGGGGTTGCCCCCTGGTACTCTTCTGAAACCCCTAAACCCTGAACCCAAATCTCTGAATAATAGAGTCCCTAGATACCAAACCCTAAAGGCTGAATCCCCAAACCCTGAACCCTATACCGGGGCGATCGGATGCTGATGTTCCAACTTTCTGGCTTTGACTATACCTATAGGCCCCATAGTAATTCTTTTTGGGGGTTCGTGTTTAGAAATTCTATAAGATAATCCCAAAAAGAATTAAAGGACCGGATAACCCCACATGTGAAGATCATACATTCATATAGAACACAAAGGTGCAGAAGAGTAAATGAGTGAGGGAGTAAATGAGTGTGTGAGTGAACGAATGAGTGAGTGCTGCTGTGAGTGCGTACGTGGGTGTAGGGTGTATGATGTGTGCATGTGTGGTGTGCGAGTGTAGAGAGAGAGAGAGTGTGTGAGTGTGTGTGTGTGTGTGTGTGTGAGTGTGTGAGTGTGTGAGTGTGTGAGTGTGTGAGTGTGTGAGTGTGTGAGTGTGTGAGTGTGTGAGTGTGTGTCTGGGTGTCTGTGTGTCTGTGTGTCTGTGTGTCTGTGTGTCTGGGTGTCTGGGTGTCTGCGTGTCTGTGTGTCTGTGTGTCTTTGTGTCTGTGTGTCTGTGTGTCTGCGTGTCTGTCTGTGTGTCTTTGTGTCTGTGTGTCTGTGTGTCTGCGTGTCTGCGTGTCTGCGTGTCTGCGAGTCTGCGTGTCTGCGTGTCTGTGTGTCTGTGTGTGTCGGTCTGTGTCTGTGTGTGTCTGTGTGTGTCTGTGTGTGTGTGTGTCTCTGTGTGTCTGTGTGTCCTGTGTGTGTCTGTGTGTGTGTCTCTGTGTGTCTGTGTGTGTCCTGTGTGTGTCTGTGTGTGTCTGTGTGTGTCTGTGTGTGTCTGTGTGTGTCTGTGTGTGTCTGTGTATGTCGGTGTGTGTCGGTGTGTGTCGGTGTGTGTCTGTGTGTGTCGGTGTGTGTCTGTGTGTGTCTGTGTGTGTGTGTGTGTGTGTGTGTGTGTGTGTGTCTGTGTGTGTCTGTGTGTGTCTGTGTGTGTCTGTGTGTGTCTGTGTCTGTGTGTGTGTCTGTGTGTGTGTCTGTCTGTGTGTGTGTCTGTCTGTGTGTGTGTGTGTGTGTCGGTGTGTGTCTGTGTGTGTCGGTGTGTGTCTGTGTGTGTCTGCGTGCGCGGCCTTGGCCAGAGCAGGCCGGGGAGGGGATTTAGTCGCGGAAGAGTCTCGCCCCCAGCGCGCGCGCGGCCTCCGCCAGAGCAGGCCGGGGAGGGGATTTAGTCGCGGAAGAGTCTCGCCCCCAGCGCGCGCGCGGCTTCCGCCAGAGCAGGCCGGGGACGGGATTTAGTCGCGGAAGAGTTTCGCCCCCAGCGCGCGCGCGGCTTCCGCCAGAGCAGGCCGGGGAGGGGATTTAGTCGCGGAAGAGTCTCGCCCCCAGCGCGCGCGCGGCCTTCGCCGCCCGGGGAGGGGATTTAGTCCGGAAGAGTCTCGCCCCCAGCACGCGCGCGGCTTCGGCCAGAGCAGGCCGGGGAGGGGATTTAGTCGCGGAAGAGTCTCGCCCCCAGCGCGCGCGCGGCTTCCGCTAGCAGGCGCGGGGTGGGGATTTAGTCGCGGAAGAGTCTCGCCCCCAGCGCGCGCGCGGCTTCCGCCAGAGCAGAGAGTAGGCCGGGGAGCGGATTTAGTCGCGGAAGCGCGGCCTTGGCCAGAGCAGGCCGGGGAGGGGATTTAGTCGCGGAAGAGTCTCGCCCCCAGGGCGCGCGCGGCCTCCGCCAGAGCAGGCCGGGGAAGGGATTTAGTCGCGGAAGAGTCTCGCCCCCAGCGCGCGCGCGGCTTCCGCCAGAGCAGGCCGGGGATGGGATTTAGTCGCGAAAGAGTCTCGCCCCCAGCGCGCGCGCGGCCTTGACCAGAGCAGGCTCGGGAGGGTCTTTAGTCGCGGAAGAGTCTCGCTCTCAGGGCGCGCGCGGCCTTGGCCAGAGCAGCCCGGGAGGGTCTTTAGTCGCGGAAGAGTCTTGCCCCCAGGGCGCGCGCGGCCTTGGCCAGAGCGGGTCCGGGAGGGTCTTTAGTCGCGGAAGAGTCTCGCCCCCAGCGCGCGCGCGGCCCGGGAGGGTCTTTAGTCGCGGAAAGAGTCTCGGGAGGGTCTTTAGTCGGAAGAGTCTCGCCCCCAGCGCGCGCACGCGGCCTTGGCCAGAGCAGGCCGGGAGGGTCTTTAGTCGCGGAAGAGTCTCGCCCCCAGCGCGCGCGGCCTTGGCCAGAGCAGGCCTCTAGTCGCGGAAGAGTCTCGCCCCCAGCGCGCGCGCGGCCTTGGCCAGAGCAGGCCGGGGAGGGGATTTAGTCGCGGAAGAGTCTCGCCCCCAGCGCGCGCGCGCGGCGTTGGCCAGAGCAGGCCGGGAGGGTCTTTAGTCGCGGAAGAGTCTCGCCCCCAGCGCGCGCGCGGCCTTGGCCAGAGCAGGCCGGGAGGGTCTTTAGTCGCGGAAGAGTCTCGCCCCCAGCGCGCGCGCGGCCTTGGCCAGAGCAGCCGGGAGGGTCTTTAGTCGCGGAAGAGTCTCGCCCCCAGCGCGCGCGCGGCCTTGGCCAGAGCAGGCCGGGAGGGTCTTTAGTCGCGGAAGAGCCTTGCCCAGAGCAGGCCCGGGTCTTGTGTGTACATGTGTGTGTGTGTGTGTGTGTAAGTGTGGCCCGGGTCTTGTGTGTACATGTGTGTGTGTGTGTGAGTGTGTCTGTGGAGGAGGAGGCGGAGGAGGAGGCGGAGGAGGAGAAGGAGGAGGAGGAGGAAGAGGAGGAGGAGGAGGAGGCGGGACAGCCCCAAAAAGTAAGAACCCCACACAGTGATGTGGGGAACTACTATGGGGCCAACCTGGAGGATCATGGGGCTTGGTAAGTAAGGTTATACGTACCTTAATTGGGGTTATAAGCATAGTTACCCGAATTATAACCCATGATCCGTTAAGTCTGGGTAAATCCCCTAACCCTGCGCCTGCAAGGATGCTGGCGGCATCCGCGCTGAACTGAATCCTGGTGAGGGCGGCCTCGGGGACCGGAGTCTCATGTGATTTTGGGCTTAGGTTTTTTTTGGGCCTCTTTCTATTCCCGCAGGCGGTCTAGGAAGCCTCGATTTTTGGGCCTCTTTCTATTCCCGCATACGGTCTAGGAAGCCTCGACTGAGGCAGGCCTATGTGGGTTTAGGGTTTAGGGTTCAGGGCTGGGGGGTTTAGGGTTTAGGAATTTCGAAATTAGGGGTTTAGGGGGCTAAGGGTTTAGGGTTTCGGTACATGGCTCATTTTGCGATAACGTACCTTGCGCTATATCACAATACATTATGAACACATTATGCATGTATAGATGTATGCATATACATATATATATATATAGTATTATACAGTGTTAAACTTGTTGAGGGTTGAGGGCTTACGGCTTAGAGTATAGGCTGAAGTATCCCGAAACAACAATGGCACCCATAGTGAAACAGACCCACAACAGTTCCAACAGATGGTTGGCTCTGACAGAAAGGGGAAATTGAAGTGGGCCTTTAGCAATCCACTTAGATAACCCTAAACCTTAAAATCATTCCCGTGATGCAGCCCGGCTTCCATACTTTGGTCCGAGTTCCCCGACTCGTTCAGAGAGTATGCAGTGACAAACCTCGGACGCGCAGCCCAAGCCCTATAAACCCTGCAAAGGCGACCTGTGTTTCAGTCGGAGATGGGATCCAGGGTCACACACACATACGCACATACATATACATTTACATATATATATATATATATATGTACATACATATACATATATACACACACACACACCTTGTATTCTATATGGTCTGCATCTCACAACATACTTTGGTCCATGTATTGTGCGGGCATGAGGTGTCGGGATGTAGAGCTCATTGGGTGCAGAGGCCTCTTGGGGCTATTTCGGAATTGAGCGCGATCCTCGCAAACCCGTAACCCGAAAATTTGAGGTTTACGTCTTGTTCGGGGTGGGGGGGAGCTTAGGGCCTAGGATTTATTGGGTTTAAGGGACAGTCAAGGATCCTAACATAGACCGTCGAGCGGACAGTTGGTCCGAAATTTTCTGACAAAGAGCAACACGCTTGCGCACGCTGTTCTGCTTATAAGGACCCCTAAGAAGGGACCGCTAATTTGCTATGCTTCCGATCGGGTTTAGAACCCATCTGCTAAGGAGATCTCAAAATAAAAGCATGGCGTAAGGGTATTCTGTAGGGACTCATGCCAAATTCTGCACCCTGAGTCCAGAGTCTAAACGTCCTATGTAAACCTGATTTCGGGGCCGAAACATGCATCTGAGGACAAAACGTTGAAGGCAACATCCCTGCGCGGGGATGGGGTTAGGGTTGGCTTTATAGGCTTTAGAGTTCAAGTGCCCGCTTGTGTGCCCTTTTGTCCCGACAGGAAACCAGAACAGCCTGAGATCTAAATTCTACCTACGCCCAAAGCCCCAACCATTCTAGTGACGTCTTAGGATTCCGAGTTTGGGATTTTGGGTTTAACCTGGAAGAGACACATGATAGGACCTGCGAGGATGAGTCCAAAGAGTACGGCTGTGGCCATGAGCTCTGCTGCCTCGGGGTCAAACCTCCGGCAGTGCGGCGTTTAGAGTTAAAGGTTTAGGAATAGGTGTGTAGGAGCCGTAAATCTAAATCTGTAGGTGTTTCTGGAGTTTTTCTATCCAGTTGAATATATAATATAGGCCGTTTGGGGTGTATTTCGGAGGCTTGAAAGCGACCCGGCGTCGGGATCTCTCCAGGTCAAGGCTCTCGGGTTGCAGGGCAACGAACGTCGACGGGATTGCGGCCTGGGGTCCTAAACCCTAAACCTACAACTCACTCACTCACTCAGGGCCAAAGGGAATCCTGTGCCATCATGCATGCAATTAGGCCGAAAAGCGACCCTGCTGTAGGGTCGCGGCCCAGAACCTAAACAAAGAGCAGAACTGTACAAAAACTGTACAAAAGCGAGGGGCCGTCATCCGAAGGACGGATAAGACCACATCGCGCGAGGAGGCAAGCCCGGAGCAAAACACCAGAGGCAAGCGCTCGACGGGAGCCAAGCACAGCCGGCCAGGGAGCGTCGCGAGGCGTACGGCCAGCGCAGCTCAACCTGGCGGACAACGGCTCAAAAGCAAAGAAAAGCATGATGCATGTCACACTGCCGCCCAGTGGGCCAGACCGCGAGCAGTAGCGTGACGACCGTGACGAGCACTAGCGGAAACAACGCAGAAAGGAGACAGTCAGAGAGACGAGCTCAGAGGGACGAGGCCACGCAAGAGCGTTCAGCGCCACCACCTTGCTACCAGCAGTTGCAGAAAGAAGATGAAGAAGTGGTGACTTGTCCAGCCTCTGTAAGGAAGAACTTGTCCGAAGCCATCGAGGCCCTCGAAAGACTCACTGAGAGGCCAGGCCCCGGAAGCGACGAAGCCGGAGGGCGGGCAAGACCCTTGGCAAAAAGCCCACGTGAAGGAAACCACTATGTACCAGGTTTGTCGGCCAAACAAATGGCAGCGAAAAACCTAATGCAGGTAAAGCAGGAAGATAATGCGGCACTCCGCCACACGCAGAGGTTACCGGAAACAGACTGCAGCGGTAAGAGCAGGAAGATAAAGTGGCAACCGCCACACGCAGAGGTTACCTGGAACCAGACTGCAGCGCCCTCGAGCAACCGAAATTGCGAGGAGAGGGCTGGGGTCGGGTATACGAAAAGGCCCTGCTACTCCTAGAGGAGAATGCAGAGCCAATCTCGCTCGAGCCGCGACGCCTAAAACCTACAACCCTTTAAATCCAAAACTTAAAAACCCTAAATCCAAAACTTAAAAACCCTAAATCCAAAACTTAAAAACCCTAAATCCAAGACTTTAAAACCCCAAACCCAAAACCCCTAAACCTCTAAAACCCCAAAACGCAGAAACTCTAAACCTCGAAAGGCCTATAACCCAAACCCTCTAAAACTCTGAGCCCAAACCATCCAAAACCTCTGAACCTCTGAAACCCTAAGCCTCTAAAATCGAAACCCCTAAACCTCTAAAACCCTAAACCCCTACAACCCAAAGCCCTAAACTCTAAACCGTCAGCCCAAACCCTCTTCTGATAGCTCAAGCTCCTTAACAAGCTCAGCACGTTTCGTGGCAGAGTAGTAGGAGAACAAGAAGTAGTAGAACGGTTTAAGCTTTAGGGTAGCAGTAGTAGTAGTAGTAGTAGTAGTAGTAGTAGTAGTAGTAGTGGTGGTGGTGGCGGTGGTGGTGGTGGTGGTAATGGTGGTAAGGGTGGTAAGGGTGGTAATGGTGGTAATGGTGGTAATGGTGGTAATGGTGGTGGTGGTAATGGTGGTGGTGGTAATGGTGGTGGTGGTAATGGTGGTAATGGTGGTGGTGGTGGTGGTAATGGTGGTGGTGGTAATGGTGGTGGTAATGGTGGTGGTAATGGTGGTGGTAATGGTGGTGGTGGTGGTGGTGGTGGTGGTGGTGGTGGTGGTGGTGGTGGTGGTGGTGGTGGTGGTGGTGGTGGTGGTGGTGGTGGTGGTGGTGGTGGTGGTGGTGGTGGTGGTGGTGGTGGTGGTGGTGGTGGTGGTGGTGGGTGGTGGTGGTGGTGGTGGTGGTGGTGGTGGTGGTGGTGGTGGTGGTGGTGGTGGTGGTGGTGGTGGTGGTGGTGGTGGTGGTGGTGGTGGTGGTGGTGGTGGTGGTGGTGGTGGTGGTGTGGTGGTGGTGGTGGTGGTGGTGGTGGTGGTGGTGGTGGTGGTGGTGGTGGTGTGGTGGTGGTGGTGGTATCAGTTGTTGTTGTTGTTGTTTTGTGTTGTGTTGTTGTTGTTGTTGTTGTTGTTGTTGTTGTTGTTGTGTTGTTGTTGTTGTTGTTAGTAGTAGTAGTAGTAGTAGTAGTAGTAGTAGTAGTAGTAGTAGTAGTAGTAGTAGTAGTAGTAGTAGTAGTAGTAGTAGTAGTAGTAGTAGTAGTAGTAGTAGTAGTAGTAGTAGTAGTAGTAGTAGTAGTAGTAGTAGTAGTAGTAGTAGTAGTAGTAGTAGTAGTAAGGAGTAGTAGTAGTAGTAGCAGTAGTAGTAGTAGTAGTAGTAATCTTGTGGGTCCCGTGCCCTTTCTCTTCATAAAACATCACCAAAAGGCTCCCTCGGCTTGCCTTTTCAATTGGCACCGTCATGGTTTAAGGTTTCGGGTTTAAGGGTTTAGGATTTCGGGCTTCGGGTTCAAGGGGAGCCATTGAGATCTAAGGTACTTAGCAATCATCAAACTCAAAAAACGAAAACCAAATGGCGGGGCCTCACTGATGAGAAAACGGGGTTCCTTTAAGGGTTCCTGAAACGGCTCTGTAGAGGTTAACCACCCAAACCATAAACCCCTTATAGCATGGCACCTGCCTCGTTGCCGCCTTGACCTTCATCGAGTATCTGAGAACCGATCCCGTCGCGAACGCAAAGCTTCAAGCTTCTACTCAACCTACACCAACACCTGCTTTTCTGGAGGATTCCTATAAAATACATATAGGGCTTATGATAAGAACAAAATTACTTAGTCAGTTATGGTAGTTTAAGGTACTTAAATTCTAAACCCCAAACTAAAAACCATGCAAGTCCGACATCCAACAAATCCGAATGCCTGCTGGCAAAGAGGATCGGCGCACTGCTGGTGGGGATTGCCTGGAGTTTGGGAGGGGAGGCGTTGGGCTTAGGGTGTTGAAGGATTTAGGGTTTAGGGTATACCTTAACCCTGAATAACCTACGTTTTTAGGCTTTAGGGTTCCTTTTTATGACTTCTTTATATAAGTCCTTTGAAATGTAGGTTCTTCGGGGTTAAGGTAGGGTTAGTCATTTAGGGGCTTGAGGGTTTTTGTGGTCTAGTGTCTCGGGGCCTGTCAACGTTATAGGGTGTTTTATGGCGTTTGGTTCGGGGTTTAGTGGGGTTAGAGGACCCCGCATGTAAACCCTGTTGGAACCCAAACCGCAGCCCTAGACTCCCTACATACTGGTCACTACTGTTGATGATATAAATCCTGCATGACCCATAACAAGGAATATACCATAATTCCCATATATTCCTGATTATGGGTAATGCAGGATTTATATCATCCACCGTAGTACGTAGTACTGTTAACTATTCAGGCATTCATGTCTAGTAAACATGCAGCAAAGGTGCGCCATAGAAGAAGGTAAAGTCTCCAAGGGCTTTCTCCGGGCCAGCCTGAACTGTCTGGTTCTTAGTAGGGAATGGGGGAATGGATTATGGAGACTGTTAAAATTATTAGGGAACAGCTAGGGAATACTATAGGAATTATTAGGGAATATATAGGGACTACTATAGGAATTATTAAGGAATATACAGGGACTACTATAGGAGTATACAGGGACTACTATATATAGGGATCGATTCCCTCATTCCCTACAAAGCACCCGACGGCGAAAAGCATTTCCGGAGTCTTGGGCTTCAGGGCTTACCTTAACCCTGAATAACCTATCTTTTTAAGGTTCCTTATTATGATTTCTTTATATAAGTCCTTAAAAATGTAGGTTTTCTTCGGGGTTAAGGTTTAGGGTGTACTACAGCGGCCATAATAATTAGAATAGGGGTTTTGGGACTATAACACTCGCAACAAGTAACCCCCAATCTACGGAAGTTTGGACTTTAGGACGGGGTTTCGAGTGTACTACAGGGTCCTTCATGATTAGAATAGGGTTTGGGGACTATATAAATATAAGAGGGAACCCCCCGAAATAGTCTCGGTAATTCAGGGACTATACAGGGTGTACGGAAGTTTGGATTTTAGGGACGTGGGGGGTTTGAGGTTTGCAGGTGCTAAGCAGCTATAGAGTTGAGGCTTTGGGCTTAGGGTTTAGGGGTTTAGGGTTTGGGGGTTTAGGGGTTCAGGGTTTAGGCTTAGGGGTTCAGGGGTTCAGGGTTTAGGGTTCAGGGTTTGTGAAGATTTTGGAGGTTTGGGTTCGGAGCTGCGGGGGTGTTGAACTACGGATGAAAGATTCTCACAACCTGAAGCTCCTTCAATAATGTAGGGGCCTTAATAATTCGAATAGGGTTTGGGTGCATATCAACTGTACTGTATTCATAACAAGGATCCCCAAAACCCTAGTTATTTCATATACTATGGCCCCGACATTAAGCCCTCGCACAAGACACCGGCTAGCCTCAAATATGAAAATGTCCGGAACAGGACACCAAACGGACTTTCGACTTGAGGTCGCTGGCGTCAGGGCTTCTAGGGCTAGCTGCCAAACCTTAGGGTCTAGGGGCGTAGGGTTTAGGGTTTAGGGTTTTTTTGGGTTTTAAGGCTTAGGGTCTAGGGTTTAGGGGGGTCGGGTTAGGATCATCTATGTGTACATGTTTTGAGCCCGGAAATTAGCCATACAAGCGATGAGAACATGTTAGACCTCTACACGATGCCGCCGCTCAAACCGTCGACGAAAAGTGCAACACCAAGCTCTGATTCGTAGGCTGTCCCAGTCATGGCGGTTTACTTGGAAAGGCTACGAGATAGCAGCCGGCACCTGCGTCTCATTACCACACGCAAATCCCGAAATCAAAAGCATGCCGGCAAATGACCGCTACATCTGTGAGTTCGACGATGCCTACGGCAACGACTGGCTACCCTCGCTCTCTCTTGCCCAGCACCGTAGCCCACGACCCAAAATTACCAAGTTCATGGCTCACTGCTGTCTGGGTGCGTCGTGCTTGCCTAAGAGCAGCGTGCCGAAGGCATAGCTAAGGTAGGCGCAAACCACAACCTGGCAGCGCACGGTTCTCAACTATCGTGTCCGAACTGCAGACTTCAGCCACCTCCCGGCCAGAAAGTGACCACGGAAAAGAAGACAACATCAAAAACGTAAAGAGCACTAGTGTATAACCACTACCACCAAGGCCGCCACAACCGCCACTGCCAGAGTCACCACACAACCAACAACAACACAGATGCAGAGGCAGCAGCAGTAGAAGCAACAACAACAATAACAATAACAACAACAACTTAACTAACAGCAACAACATCATCATCAACCACAGCAAAAACAACATCAACAAAAACAATGAACCTGCTATTGCTGCTACTATCACCACCGCGACGACGACGACGACCACTACCACTACCACTACCACTACCACTACCACTACCACTACCACTACCACTGCCACTACAACTACCACTACCACCACCACTACCACTACCACTACCACTACCACTACCACCACCACCACCACCACGACTACCACTACCACTACCACTACCACTACCACTACCACTACCACTACCACTACCACTACCACTACCACTACCACTACCACTACCACTACCACTACCACTACCACCACCGTGCCACCACCGCCATGCCACCACCGCCATGCCACCACCACCACCACCACCACCACCACCACCACCACCACCACCACGACCACGACCACGACCACGACCACGACCACGACCACGACCACTGCCACTGCCACGACCACGACCACGACCACGACCACTACCACTACCACTACCACTAACAGTACCACCACGACCACTACCAATACCACTACCACTACCACTACCACTACCACCACCACTACCACTACCACTACCACTACCGCTACCACTACCACTACCACTACCACTACAACCCCCACTACCACTACCACTACCACTGCCACGACTGCTACTGCTACTGCTACTGCTACTGCTACTACTACTACTACTACTAGTACTAGTACTAATACTAGTACTAGTACTAGTACTAGTACTAGTACTACTACCACTACCACTACTACTACTACTACTACTACTACTACTACTACTACTACTACTACTACTACTACTACTACTACTACTACTGCTAATAATATTAACAATGCTATTCCTGCGCCTACTCCTACTACTACTGTTACTGCTGCTGCTGCTGCTGCTGCTACTACTACTACTACTGCTACTAGTAGGACTCCTACTAGGACTCCACTTACTACTGCTACTGCTACTGCTACAGTAATAATGGTAATCAGCACAAGATCAAGGACGTTACAAGAACAAAACAAGCAACACCATGGCTACAAATGTAAGAAAACGAACAACAGCAATATTCACTATATTCGCACAGTACAGTAGTAATGGAACAACAGAACATCATCAAGAAAAGCAGAAGAGCTGCATTCGCGCCAACAGACACAATGTGACAGACATTTCACTTCGAACCATCGATCTATCTGTCCAGCTATCTATCTATGTATCTCTCTCCCTCTCCGTCTGTCTATCTACCTATACATATGAACAATGCATATGAATATCACATTTATATAAAAAAAACCCTAAATCCCAAACCATAAACTCTATATTCTGTATTTATGAATATATGTATATATATATATATATATACACATACATACACACATACACACATACCTACATACATACGTACATACATACATACATATACACATCATACATATATATATATATACACACACATACATATGTATGTATGTATGCATAAATATATATGTATATGTATAGACACCCACACGGCCTTCATCAGGACTAGGCCGCACGGCCATACTGCCAGCTGCGCAGAATTCAGCGAGGTGCCGGTGAGGAACCTCATGGGCAATTCTCTCAATTAGGGCTTAACGTCTTTTTCTCAAGGGATTAGGGTTTATAGGGTTCTTAGGATTTAGGGTTTAGGGTTAGTATTAGGCACCCTTGTAAAAAGGATGCCATGTATTTTGAGAACTGCCCTCAGGGATGTCGAATTTGCTCGGTATTCTGCCCGGATGGGCCTTGCACGGCCTTGGGCTTTAGGGGTGAGAGGTTAGGGTTTTGGGGTTAGGGTTAGGGTCCAGGGGTTGAAGTGTAGGGTGTAACCCCGAATCCTAAGCCCCTACACCTTATGCTTTGCAGAACCTACCTTTTTGAGGACTTATATAGGGACATCATTATACCCTAAACAGGTAGGTTATTCAGGGATAAGGTAGACCTTATACCCAGAAGCCCGAGAAACCTGCAGTCCAAAATAACGGATGCCCTTAGGCCCCCCCTTATGAAACCTATAGCCAGGCCGAGAGTCAGTGCCAACATACCGAACGGTCCTGTGAGGAGCCTGGGCATGTCGAGTCCGTATTCAGGGCTAAGGGTTTAGGGGTGTGGGATCTGGGGTTTAGGGGTTTTGGGTTTAGGGTTCACAGATTTCGCAACCTTGAAGCGAGTAACAGGTTTTGCAAGGGGTTTCAGTGCTTCAGGTTCAGATTCGGGGTTTGTTAAGGATGGGAAACCCTCGACCCTTACGATCTTTTTGGTGTTTCTATGATGACCCGCAAATTGAAGCTGTGGGAACCTGGGCTGTTGCACTGCCTTTTGCTTTTTCAGGGTTTAGGGTATCGGGTTTTCGCTGTTAGGGTTCAGAGCTGTTTGGGGGTTGGGGTTGATTTGAAGATTCTGGAAGGGATGATGGGGTTTTGAGTTTAGAGCAAGGGCTCAGAACTCACGTCATGTCGGCCGAGGGCAGAAAGATCGAAATGAATACGACTGTTCACACAAGTGGTATTGGAAACGAAAGCACCGTCCGCTAATATTGCTTAAACAAGGTGCAGTATACCGCAACAGCAGCAACAACAATCGCACGAAATCACAGCAACCCAGACATCAAGAAACATGAGGATATATAGTCAACAAACACTAAGAAATGGAAGGCTTCAACGGAGCATCTGCTGCTCAGGAAGGAATGGGGACTAGGATGGACTAGGTCGTAGGGCTGACTTCTGGCCCGAGATACTGGATACTACCGGAGCCTAAATAATTGCCACCACCATTTTGAGGGCTCCTCATTGTAATTATGCTAATTATAACATACCAACCCCCCCCCCCCCAAACGAACCAAATTCTAATCATTAAGAGGATCTTAGGAACAACATCTCCTCCCTCCGAGATTTTCAACTTTAACAGTAGGCCCCTAGCGCCCGCAGTTCCAAGCACTCAAAACCGAAGCTTCAACTCCTGGCAGTATGTCTTGATGCAGGGGCATCAATGAATTAGAATAGAGCTTTGCGGTAGATCATATCAGAAGGAGCCCACACAATAGTATAGGTAATTATTTTGGCCCCTATTATCGGCATGGGCAAGGGGTTTAAGGTCTATCGGGGTTTAAGGCAACCAAATATCGTCCAACCTATGAAACCCTAAACCCTACCGTTTAGAAGCAGGAGCACACATCCCTGAATCAAAGCAGGGTCGAACGAAACGATCTTCATCGTTACAAAAGCCTTACAAGACCCACCCTTATATACAATTTACTGAGCAACACTGATCAAGCACCATGAAGAACCTCATAAAATCCTCTAGGGTCTGGCGTCATCTGACCAAGAGGCTCAACGAGATCGTGGAAAGGCGGTGGTAACTGGGACTTGCCACCGACTGTGACGAGCCTCGGTTGCATGGATTTTTTTGTAATTCGGTTGGGAGTTCAAGAGTCGGGGCTTCGATTTAGGGCGGAGGTTTGAGGGTTTGGGTTGGGTGGTTTAGAAGTCACGGGTCTGAAGATTCAGGTTCAAGGCCTTCGGGTTCAGGGTTCTGGGTGGGTGATAGATTTGACAGGACTTTGCGGGGCTTGGCTGTGGCTGTGATTACAGAGCTTCAACAAATTCGAGTGGAGCTTTGGTGAATGTTGCTTCTTGGAAACCTCAAACCTCTAACCTGACATCTGGATGGGGGGTTTATGTTAGGAGGTTACTAGGGGTACGTAATGTGCTTCTTAAGCCCTAAACCCCACACCCCTAAGCCGCCCGAAACCTTAAACCCAGAACCCTAAGCCATAAGTGCGGAAGCAATGTGACCGTCTCCTGAGGCTCCTCGCTCATAACCTCGGCTTCTGCCTGATGGATTACTTGAAGGATCGTGGGACTTAGTAAGGAAGGTTATAAGTACCTTAATCTGGGGTTATAAGTAGCTACAAGTATAGTTACCCTGGTTATAACCATAGTTACTAAGTCCCATGATCCTTCATCTACTGTTACATGAGCCAGCAAGAACCCCAGACAGGGGCCCGATGATAAAGCTGCTTCCGCTGACTACAGTTGCGGGAGCTCGTCCCTACATAATAAAGCGAAACCCTAAAACCGAAACCACAAGTCCTGTCCCAAAACCTGGTTAGGAGGTCTTATAAACAGAAACCTGCGATAGGAACCGGTTTTGGACAATGAGTTTAGGTTTTGGGGCTCGGGGTGCAGTGCGTAAGGTTCAGGCTTTGGGATCCACAGCTTTATGGCTTCAGATTCAGGATTTGGGCTTCAGTTTTTGAGGGGCAGGCTTGGCTGTAAGCGGTTGGGCTGCGCTCCACAAGACCACAACCATATCCGCAACCCTATATGTATACCACAACCCTTGTATGATTCCTGATCCTCGAACCCGAAACCTTGAAAAACCTACCTTTTTGCGGACTTATATAGGGACATCATAATAGGGAACCCGAAACCCTAAAGGCCCTACTACCTGAAGCCTGCCCCAGCTGCAGACTCTAACCCCCTTGCAAACTCGAGCAGAGAGTCGAATATAGGAGCCTTAATAAGTAGAATAGGGTTGGAGCACACTCTATTATGTAACTATAAAAAGGAACCCCCAAAACAGTGTAGGTAATTATGAAGGCCCCATATGTCATTCTAAACTACAAAATTAAAAAGGAACCCCCCAAATAGTATAGGTAATTATTAAGGCCCCTGTATTAATGTCTGCCCCGCAATCGTTTGTCCTTCTTTGGGCTAGACTTGCATCTTGCAGCGACTGAAAGGAGAGCTTAGGGTTTGGAGGCTATGTTAATGGAAGGGACCAGAATAATACAAGGAGTGCATATGAATGATTTTACAGTATGCTACAATATACCTCGTTTATGGTGCCTCAGGTCAAACTCCTCAGCCGGCACCGGGGTTTGGGGCTTACGGAAGCCACGAAGGTGCAGCTTCGAATGCACAGCCAGGATGCGTCCCACCAAGTGCCACCTTGAAGACGAGGCCCAAGCACGACATGACGATGACAGGATTCGTGGACAAGTCCTCGGTGACAAGAAGTCTGTAAGGGTCCATGTACCCAAATAGTGTTTCTTTTGGCCCAAGGTACCTATATAGGGAGTACCGTAAGGCCAAAGCATATACTATTTGGGGCACATGGACTTAGGGTTTGATGCAAGCATGAACAACAAGCCCTCAACCCTCCATAAAGCCCCCAACCACCCTCTATTATACCCCAAATATGCACTATTCAAGACCATAAGGCCTCCATCAACGGGCACCCGGGGGGGGGGGTCCTGGGGGGGGGTCCTGGTCCATAGACGCAAAACACAGAGCCTGACTGGTTCTTAGTAGAGAATGGATTGTGGAGACTAGTCTTCTAGTTCATTGTTGGGATAGGATTAAGAATGTACATGTTTATTCCTTATTGGGTTTAAGTACCCAGAAAATTGTAAAATGTTACCCAACTTGGGGATTATATAGGGGCTACTCTAGGGATCCCCTACTAAGCACGAGACAGAAGCCGTAGAGCTCAAACGTCCGAAACGATCTTCTGGAAACCTTTGCAGTACTCCAAGGGCCCAAAGGAGACAATAATAAGGCACTTGGGTTTAGGATAGTAGTTACCCAGACTACCGGGAGGCTCCAACAAGGTAGATCCCTTAATGGGGGCTCCTGTAGAATACCTTTGATAGCATAGGGCCCCAAATTAGGGGATCTACTTTCTAGATCCTCCCGGGGGTCTGGGTATGCAGGTTCATATCTGACAGAGTATATGATGATTAGGTACTGCCGAAGCCACTCAAGCCCAACTGCTTCGGTTTAGAACTTAGGGTTTATAGGGTGTAGCTAAAGGTTGGGGTTTAGGGTCGGAGTGTAACTTGCAATTTCGGCGAGTTCGACCCCCCGGGCTCTGCGGCTGGCTCTCCATCGGTTAGAATAGGGTTTAGGGTTTAGGGTTTAGGGTTAATTTGGCTCTGGCGGTATACTACTGTATGTAGTAGGGGATATTGTCGCCAAGTATGGTGCAGACCCCTACACTACGGTTTAGCGGGTGGGCCCACTTCCCACCTGCAGGATTCTTTGAGAAACCTACTTTCACAGGCCCCCAAACCCCCCAAGTCTAAATGCAGAGGCCCAAAGAGCCGGGTTTAGGGTTTAGGGCCTGGGGCTAACCTATACTCCCTAGCAACAATTATAATTTTGACTGTTTCTTAGGGATTACAATAACCAAAAATTAAAAAATATTTCCAAGTACCCCTAAGTGAATGTAGAATTCAAGCTGAACTCGGTTCAAGCGACTTTGAGGATTGTCTGGACCACTTGGCATGCAGAGATACGCTTCCCCTCGCCCTCGCTGGCAGATCCTCACCAAGCTCGGAGCGTTACCCATAGGCCCCAAAGTGGTTCCGTTTTGGGATTACCACCTTATAGGATTCTATATATGAGCCCCAAAAAGGAACTACTTTGGGGCCTTTGGGTACAGCACCCCGGGATAAGAATCCGGAATAACAGTAATGGTAATGTTCGTAGTATGCGTTTTGTTGAAGAAGAAAATACCACGGGCTAGAACTGAGATCCTGGTCTTGCTCTGGGTTGTGTAAGTATCACGCAGCTGCTGCATGAACCCTCAAAAACACGCAGCATTAAGGTCTGCAGACCACAACGCAGCCAGCTCAGAAATTCATTGGCTTCCGCTTTACGCTTATAGAGTCGATGGTCCTTCGATTCAACACTCACCACAGCCACAGGGAGTGTGAGAATGGAGCAGCTGATGCCACGTGGAGGATGATGATCGGAATGAAACTGGCAGAGTCAGTGCAATGAGCATCCGTGCTCCTAATGGCGAGAAACTTCAACAAGCAAACACCCCACATTTCTAAAGCATTCATCAAACTCAAACCCCACAGTCATGTCAAAGGGGATCTAACATCCCTCAAAGCGCCATGCACCAGGTCAATATACCCAGAGTGCACCCACCAGAACCCGCACCTGAACCGACCCCTAGAATTCCACCCAAAGTCAAGCTGCCTTTTAGAATGGGTTAATCACTATATACTGTGATGGTATAGGGACGCTAACCTACTTACAGACTGGTGTGGCAAAGACATTGGGGACTACTTGGAGGATTATGGGACTTAGTAAGCAAGGCTATGAGTACCTTAATTGGGGGTTATAAGTATAGTTACACTAATTAAAACCCTAGTTACTAAGTGTTATGATCCTTCAAGTAAGGTATATGACCACCCTGAAAGTGTGAGTTTTCCCGAGAGGTAGGACTCAACTTATCAGCAGAAATGCTTTGTGCCAGGGAGTAGGGTTTGGGCTTACGGTTGAGGGCGTGGTGTAGGCTTGAGGGCTTGAGGTTTAGGGTACAAGGTCTAGGGTGTAGGTTTGAGGTCTATAGGGTTTTAAGGTTGAGTTTTTTGTTGATTGTTTACGACCCTGAAGTCGCGCAGGAGCACTCCGCCCTTACACGACTAGCCACGCTGAAGGCCCAATCAACTCAGACTTGAACCGAATAGACCGCTCTCTCATAGTCCCTGCATGGTTATTTATGGCACAACATACCCCAATACCCTGGTCATTCTGCCCAAGGTGCCCTTCTGCAAGGCGCCCCCGACAGCGAAAGCAATCATCGTAAGCGGCACCTTGCCAGCAGTTTCCGTAGAAGCTCTAAAGCTCTAGAACTCCAGAAGCCTCACAGCTCTTTCCAAAGTTTGATAGGGTTCACGGAGTTTTGGGGGTACTTGGAGGATCATGGGACTTAATAAGTAAGGTTATAAGTACCTTATTCCGGGTTATAAGTATAGCTACCCTAATTATTACCCTAGTTACTAAGTCCCATGATCCTTCAAGTAGGATTTACCTCGCTGTAAGAACCTTGCACCCTGAATCCTCGAATCCCAGACGAATCCGACACCCGAAGCGTCAAGATTTAAGCTTCAATCCTAAACCCCGAATCCGAAACCCTAAACCCTGAACTGCAAATCCTGGAATCCTAGTCCTAGTCTTGTAAACGCAACCCTGAAGTTGATAGGGCCAGCTCAGGCGGCCCGGTATCCTCCCTTTGAAGGCATCGACCACGCTCCCCATTCAGGGCCAACGGGGGTTCGGGATAAGCTTTCGAGAGTGCGCACGCTTCCAACCAACTATGTATGTAGTTGACAAATCCAGCTCATTTTTGAGACATCAAAGGATATACACTTGTCGCATATATGCATATGCACATCTGTGTATGTACCGTTGCATTGAATACGTACTCTGTATAGACCAATACACACATCCAAATGCCTAGGTACAAATTCCGAGACAAGGACCTGTAGATCAATGCTCATATGCATATGTACATAACTATCTGTCTATGTGTGTGTGTGTGTATATGTATACACATGCATAATCATAGTTATATCCATATATACATACATGCATCTTACAATGAATACATTTTCACATAAATACATACATACGTACATATATACAGAGTCTACACGTCCATATCAACATCCCATCCCTGTACAAAGCAGAATCCTGGTGTCAAGCATGCCTACAGTTTCGGCACAGCGTAGGCCATAAATTAGCCAGAAAGACGGAGCAGGAAAACTAATGGACATACATGATGGCCGTCGACCTCATGCGGGAATTTCCGAAAGTAGGGGACCCTGCTCTACTAATTATCAGGACCCCACAATAAGGTACCCCTAATTTTGGAAACTCCCATATATGCACGCATTGAAAGGAGCTATGGCAATGCTCCTGAAGCGATGTGCCAAGGCACAAACACAAAGGAACCAACGACCGCATTCCCTGCGATGTAGACCTCTGGATTCATTCTCCAATCTCCCTCAATAGGCATTCCGCATTCGGGTCGACTTCTGCAGAGTAGGACAAGTACGTGGGCCAGGATGCTCTATGGCCCGGTTCAGCACGTCTCACACTCTCTTCCGCATCCAAACAACTCAAGAGCATCTGCCACTTGCCAGGTTCGCATTAGTTGGCAACGATGATGGTGATGACGATTGCGAGTCAGGCACATGTGATGACAGTGGTGACGATGGCAAGCACGACGGCGATGCTGATGATGATGCTGCTGAATATGAGGATGATGATGGCCAAAGTGACGTGAAGGTCACGTGATGATGTTGATGACTGTGATGATGAGGTGGATGAGGAGAAAGGAGTTGCTGCCAATTGTGGTGCTGCATATCTCGATGATGTTCAGCAGAGCACGACGATATTGGTGAGATGTACATATACACATATTGTGGCTGATGTGAAGGCGTGTGATTATGACTGCGGGCAGATTGCATGATCACAATACTACCGGCAGTAATCGCGATCATGATGGTCACGATGTTGCTGATAGTGAATGTGGTGGTGGTGGTGGTGGTGGTGGTGGTGGTGGTGGCGGCTGTGATGTTGGCATGTTTCGGCAGTGCATGCAAGCGAACTTAAGACATGAAGCAGAAGGGTCTAGGACTGGTTTTGGGTGTTTTGAACTCAGTGGACGCAACAGCTTGTAAATGGAAAACCCGTGCCAAATGCGGAAGCTATGGGCTATGGTGCCGCCGCACAAGAAAGCTAAACTAGGCACCAGTGTAGCCTTCATGTAACAGGATGCCAAGGATCGTCCATGCCGTAGGTATCGCTATACAGTGCGTCGATAACCGGAAAGCCGATTGCAAAGTCGTTGGAAGCAACCTTGTGTGTTTCTGGGTTCTTTTTACGGCTTCTAAGGAGGGTAGTTTTAAGCTACCATGGCATAATAGGGATCTATAGTAGGGGTTTATGGTTTCCGTAGAATGGCAAGTTTAAGTTAAATTACATAACAAGAACCCAGGTTCGCAGCGGCTGTGGGCCGCATAGTTGTTGAGGGCTCTCGTTGACACTAAACCCCCCAAAAATCCCAAGAACCCGAGACACTGCAACCCTAACACCCAAATCCCAAAACCTGAACCCTACACCGTTAGTAGTGCTCGGGGGACCCAGAGCTCTGGGGTTTTCGATATGAGGTTTAGAGGTCAAAATGCAGAGGTGAGCGGTTTCGGGCTTCTGGGTGCTGGGGATTTAGGGTTTCGGGGTTGTGTGCACTTCTTCGTTGCTGGTGCTGTTATGGGTGTTGTTGTCGTTGTGGTTGTGGTTGTGGCTGTGGTTGTCGTCGTCATTGTGGTTGTGCCTGTACTTGTAGATGTTGTTGCTGTAGTTGTAGATGTAGTTGTAGTTGGAGCACTTGTAGTAGTCGTCGTCGTTGTTGTCGTCGTTTCGGTCGTATGTCGTTGTCGTCATTGTCGTCGTTGTTGTTGGTGGTGGTGATATTGTAGTAGTAGTAGTAGTAGTAGTAGTAGTAGTAGTAGTAGTAGTAGTAGTAGTAGTAGTAGTAGTAGTAGTAGTAGTAGTGGTAGTAGTGGTCGTAGTAGTAGTAGTAGCAGCAGCAGCAGTAGTTGTTGTTCGCGCTGCTGCTGTTACCGTTGCTGATGTCGCTGCTGCTGTTGCTTCTGATGCTGGTGTTGTCACTGTTGTCGTTGACGCAGAAGAAGTGCCAGGTCGACAGGGCAACACAAGCGCACAAGTGAGTTCAAGTTCAGGGATTAGCAACGCTTCTGGCAGCAAAAGACTTTCAAAAGGATTGCCAGACAAGTCGTCAGTCGGAGGACTGGTGAGCTGATTGAGACGGCAGCTGTGGATGCAACACATGGCTTGAATCCTACACACAAACTCCGCAACCCTCCATCCTGCATCCCACAAACCTTCTTCTTCCTGAAGCCGAATTCCCAAGCAACAAACCCTGCCCTTGCTTGCCCGAAGCCCTGAGGCCAGTAAACACTCACATAAACCAACATGCAACCGACTGCGGCACCCCTACCAACTTCGCAGGGCTCCAGTTGCCCAACCACTACACGAAAATGTACCCCACCAAGCTAATGGCCTTCTCAAAAAGGGTACTATAGTAGGGTTTAAGGTCTAGGGTTTAGGCTCATATCATGAATTCATGAACACCCTCAAAGCCCATCAAATAGAATCCTTTAGCTGGGCCCTTTGCGGCCCCAATCCCTGCAGACGGGGCTCTGCAAAGAAGGCAAAGACCGACGCGGTCAACACACGCTGCCCTATGGACCTGAAAGAGCATTGTACTGGTACTGAAGGATATACAAATATGTACGAACACATGTGTATGTGTATATATATATATATATATCACATTATACACAGATATACCTACTGGCATAAACCCCAAACTCTTTAAGCCCAAAGCCCGAAAGCCTGATCCCTATGGATGAAGTTACGATGAGCAAGTAAGCCTAAAAGCCTGTATGCAGCCGTGCTATGGTAGTAGCTGAAGCAAACTTCAGCAAGAAGAACCCAGTAAAGCTCACATCGGCGAAAGAATCCGCCTGTGTGGCTTGAAGGCCACGAAGGCCAATATCCAGGTTAGCACCTCGCAAACGTCTTAGGGATTCGGAGCTATATGGGGTATAGGAGTTCAGGGCAAAGGTTTGGGAATAACGAGTAAGGCAGGGGTAGTACCTGTGTGGGGCTACGATTTGCAGATTCAACAACTTAGGGCTCGAGTCTTAGAAGCGGGTTAAGAAGTCAGGTTCAGGTTCGGGGCTTTGGGTTCCAACTGCCCTCCACCCAAAACTCTAAACCCAAATTCGGACCATAAAGGCTGGCTCAAGAGTACCTCAAGGGAAATCCCTAGTGGAACTCTTTTAACAAAAAACTACAGATGGTGGTGGGTTTCCGGCGTAGGGTTAAGGGGTTCAGGGTTTAGGGGGTTAGGGTTTCGGGTTGGCAAGGCTTGGCAAGCGGCCAGCCCGAAGCAAACACGCATGTTAAGAAACCGTGAGACTTGTCACTTGCGTTGAAGGTTGTATAAGGTACATGTCCACCTGTTCAGGACCTCTTCCGAACGCCTGGGAGACTAACGCCTATTATCGACCCGGGTTTAGGGTTAGGGTTTGGGGTTCAGGGTTTACGGTTTAAGGTTTAGGGTTTAGTTTAGGTTCACAACCAGGCTTAGCAACGTCGATTGCACCCAAAAGCTCCGTTCTGCATGAAAGCGAACTACCAGATGCCTCAATTCAACCCTGAACCTTCTAAACCCTTCAAACCCTAAAGCTTTGAAGCCTTTTAAACACCCTTTAAAACGCTCTTCAAATCCCCTGAACCCCAACCTATACGTGTCGATGTCAACAGTGCCAAAAAACATGTACATTGGATCTCTATCTTCAACAATAAGGAAAGCTAGAAGCTATCCCAAATCGATACCTGTTAACCTCCTAAACCCTACACCCTAAATACTAGACCCTAAACCCTAAACCTAAACCCTAAACCTACACCCTAACGCAACCTCGCAAAGGAACTGTATGCAAACATGCTTACGGTTATGCGGTGTCAGTATATGTAGAAAAAACCTTTTGTTTCAGACTTCCTGTTATGGTAACTTTTAGGGCAAGGTCGAGGTTTAGGTGTGCGTTTTCGGGTGTAGGGTTTGGGGTTCAGGATGTAGGGTCAAAAGGGTCTAGGGCCTAGGGATTTTCACGGGATTACTGTCGAGTGTAGGGGCTCTCAAACTTATAAGTCTCGCAACACCGCACCATGATCAGACAAGTAGGGCTGCCGTTCCCATAATAAAACCAGAATAAGCTGTACTCACAAATACTGCTAACAACCAGAAAATGCGCCCACCAAACTGCTCACAGGAAACCTTGCACAACCCACCGGATAAAAGCCCTAGCCGTAAACAACAGGTTGAAAACTCTCAGACCCCTGGCTGACAATCGATGCAAGGGCGGGTCAGCTAAAAAAAAGTGCGAGGTTCAGGGAGTGAGGCTTAGGGCCACTTGCAATAGACCCAAACCCTAAACCCTAAACCCTGAACCTTAAACCCTAAACCCTGAACCTTAAACCCTAAACCCTGAACCTTAAACCCTAAACCCTGAACCCTAAACCCTAAACGCTGAACCTTAACCCTCATCATCGGCTTCAGGGGTTTCTGGTTCAGACCCCGAGACGAAACGCACCAGGGCACCATGACAATGATTTTGCCCAGGCTGCACGCCAAAATTACCTCGGGACTGAAGCTTAACCTTTGGGACAAGACATGGAAGATCTGGGGCAATGCCCTACTTGGAGGATCATGGGACTTAGTAAGTCAGGTTATAAGTACCTTAATTGGGGTTATAAGTATAGTTATCCTAATTATAACCCTAGTTACTAAGTCCCATGATCCTTTAAGTAAGCCCTAAACTACCCATCAGCTCCCTCATTCGAGTGGGGAGTGTCCGGTCGGTTCGAGCACCAGTTTAGGGTTCTGGGTATCAGGGTTTAGGGCTTAGGGTTTAGGGTTTAGGGCTTAGGGTTTAGGGTTTAGGGTTTAGGGTTTAGTTTAGGGCTTAGGGTTTACAGTAAAGCCAGAAAGTTGGAATATGATTATCCTAAACCTTTCTATGGTAAATTATAAGGTATCCTACCCTGAAACCATATTCCAACTTTCTGGAGTTCCCTTTAGGGCTTGGGGTTTAGGGTATGGAAACGGCGGTGTTTTTGGACCCCGGAAAATCAGACGCTGAATGCAAGGAAAACCAAAATGAGACACCGCCTAGCCTTGAGCTAGGTGAACCCTTATAAACAAAGATGAACCCCACATAGCCCTGTTAAGTTCTCAACCGAATCCTATGAACAAGATCATTTCTAAGCTAATATAATCGTACCATTGCACGAAACTCGCATATGACAAGGGATCGCTGCACTCCTGTCATAGACCAAACCCTTAACTATATGTGGGCAGTTCTCCAAATTAGAGTCCCTTTTAGAATCCGTTTAATAAGGGCCCTGGCTTTTTCGACGTAACGAAGCAAAGCTAGTTTACAGAACAACCCATATGAAACTTGAGTTAATCCCCCACAAGCGAGATTTTTGATGACAAGCAAGACCCTCCGTACAATACATTCAATACAAGCATCTCCTGTCATTTCACTGTTAGCCGTGTCACTGCATCGGCCATGACGGTCAGGAGTGTGCAAAGACTAGGAGTTTTATTCACGTCCTCCAGCAAAGGAGTATAGAACACACAACCACAGGGGTTCCCTAAACCCTAAAAACTCAGCCCCGAAAAACCCAGGTGCAGAGAAGTGGATCGACTCCAGCGAAGCAGTTGCGATGGTTTGGAAGACCAGCAAAGGAAACGCGATCCTTGGGAAGTCAGAACAGGGGCTCCAAAACTACCCTAGGGACCCAAAGTAGTTCCTTTTTGGGTTCATATATAGAATCCAATAACCCTAAACCCTAAACCCAAAACCCAAAAAGGAACTACTTTGGGGCTCCAGAACTAAAGCCGAGCTTCTTTATTTCTGGGTGGTTGTCAAAATCAGGGTCTCTTTTTGGGTCCCTGTTCTAATACGGTACCTATTATTTAGGGTACCCCAAAAGGGACGATCATTTTGACAACCACCCATTTCTGGGTTCTTTACCGGGTGTAGGGTGTGGAGAAGTATGGGGACATTTAATAGTTAGGATACTGTAGTGAGCATTCTGCAATGCGGGGTTTAACAGGCTTGGCGGTAGGTGCAAAATCGGGGCCTTAACAATTGGAGCAGGATATTGGAATACTGTGTCCAGCGAGGGCATGTTCTTAGAGTTAGACCTCTACAGTGGGCTTTTGGTTAAGTGGCTCCGAGTTGTGGGGTTCTGGGATTCTCAATAGGGCAGTTCTTGTTTACAGGATCTTCGTCGGATATAGGCTCTTGTACAAAAGGGTTCAGGGCTCGTTGGGGCTGCGGGTTGACCAGAGCGGGTTTGGCGGTTTAGTGGTTCGGGAGTTGGGCTGTCGTGCCGAAAATTTCGCCGACCTAGTGCGGTGTTTGAGGGTAAGGGGTAACCCTAAATCCTAAACCTAAACCCTAAACTTAAACCCTAAACGCTAATGCTGTTCATGCTACGGGTGCTCTGCATCGGTTGGGCGAGCTGCATGCTCAGGACGGCTTCCCCAGCCCTAAACCCGAGGGTTTCAAGCTTCCGGGTCTTTTTTGGAGGTATGCCAGCCGGCTGCTGGCTGCTAGCCTGAAGAGTCTCCGAAGCATATGGGCAGTCGTCAACATTATGGTCCCTTTTGGGGTACCCTAACTATGAGGTGCCGTACTATATTAAGGACCCAAAAAAGAGACCATAGTTTTGACAACCACCAATAACACTTCAAGCAGGGGAGCTTTTGTTAAATATGAGGGTCTATGCTGAGCTCGTTCAATTTCTGGACCGCTCTTATGACACAATAAAAAGGTTGCACAGGCGCCCGGAGGTCGTGTTTCAGTGGAACTCGAGCTTTGCGGTAAATAACGCCTTAGTTATCTTGGTGAAACAAGAGGACACTATTAAGTTATCAGACCTTCATATGTCGGCTACAACCTTTAGAGGAACTCTGAAAGGGACCCAGCAGAATCGTATGTTTGGCGGCCTTTCTATTCGTCGACGAGCAGCGAGCTCACGAAGAATCCCATACCTTTGAGGTCACCTTGTTCGGGTACAATGAGTTTCCTCGGCTGGGATAGAGCTTCCTCCAGGTTCTACTGGCATTTTGTAGGTTTTTGCTAGGGGAGATGAGATTGCTCGGCTTCAGTTTTGCCGATCTGGTCCGACACATATCGCACCACATGCCTTTAACAAATTCAGATCAATTTCCAGTAGCTGCGTTTAGTTTAACCCTTTCTGAAACAGCTTCAGGCCTTTCAATGTTGCACGGCTCTAACACGGCGGGCGTGGGGTTGAGGTCGGGAGTCGCGGCGTAGAGACCCGGGACTTCTGCTTTCTTTTTTCCCAGACACTAGACCCACAGGGTAAAAGCCTTAATGGGGACCCTTACCCTATAATGAGCTATATAATGGGTATATACTAGCTATATGAAGGGTATATACCTAGGGGTCCTTATCAAGGGTCCCTCCTTTTACCCTTGGAATTTTCTCCCCGACACTAGACCCTGAACGCGAAGACCCTGCACCCTAAAACCAACCCCAAAGCCCTAAACACACTGAAAAGACCCTGATTAAACCCTATAAAACCCGAAAGCCCTGCACCCTGAAACCTTGAAGCCCTAAACACACTAAGAAGACTCCAAACCCTAAGCCCGAAAACCCTACACCCTAAAACCTTGAAGCCCCTAAAGCACCAAAAACACTAAAACCTGAACCCAAGTGTGCCCACGAAATCTTCCATGGACCCAAGGCCAATCTAGACCCGGCTTGGGGCTGAAAAAGTCACAATTTGTGAACTCATCTAATGGTTCCTTCAAGGGAGCTATGAGAATGTGTAATAAGGGTTTATGGTTTAGAGATTGTTTGCTTTAGGGTTTTTGAGGCTGCTTCGATTCCATTATCAAGTCTTGCCGGTTTAGGCTTTAGGCTTAGTAGAACGGGGAGAGTTCAAAGTTAAGGGCATCCAGCATATGTTCTTCATCGGTTCCTCCAGCATCACGAACTTCATATATATATATATATATATATTATAAACACACATCGACCTGAACTTTGAGATCACATTTCGTTGCATATTTCGGTGGTATGGGTTTCAAGACATGGAGCAGACTGACCTGGAGCCAAACGCAAAACCAGCCTAACCCACGCCCTCTACGCCAAGCTAAACTAGCCCAAAACCCAAACCCTGCTCTACCTAAACCCAAACCCCAAAGCACCACAACCCAGTAGCCTACCCGCTTGAACCACATCCCCCCTGATACTGAGGATACTATACCCTATGCCCTGAATCCTAAACTCCGAAACTAAAAACCCCCCCTGGACGCCAGAAAGCCCCCGGTTCCAGGGTTTCTGTACATGATTGTATGAATCCTCAAAAGGTCAGGTTATTTGGAGTTGCACTTTAGGGTTTAAGGAAAACCCTACTTTGAAGCTTCCCCCAGCAACCTGGAAGCAGCTAATTACCGAGCGTCAGGCGAACACAGAAAAGCCCAAGCAAGATCGCCAACATGGTCCTGCCGCTTCGGTATATGTGGGGTTTCCCATGGTTTAGCGTCCCTTGACATGTATTTTGAGGGCTTAAGATAGTAATAGTTGTGGTTCAAGCGGGTTTCGTAGCTAAGGGTTTAAGTAAGATTTCACGAGATTAGAGGTTAGGGTCTAGGTAAATTATACCGGCGCCTTAATCACCCAACAGAGGGGCGCGGTTCTGGTTCGGGGGTGAATTATTCCTGAGATGTGATCATACGGCATATGTGTAAATTGAGACGCCAGGGGGATGTCATTAGGTTCTCCGCACAAAGAGATGCTTGCTACAAGTAGAGGGTTAAGGGTCTAGGCTTTAATTACAAGTAAAGCCACAGTCATTGCAAGTACATGCCCGGAGGCTTCATATGAACCATATTATGGACGTGGGTCCCAGATGGAGCCTCTGGGATGCGGCTTTAACCCTTCTTGTCGGGTATCATGGGGAACTAAAGGTTAACCTTTCTGGTTGTTATATAGGGATTATATAGGGACCATACTACCCAAAAAAGGTTAAAGGTTACCTACTCTACTACTAGGTAACAGCATCCACAAGCTTGCGCCTTCAGACCTCAGTACACTCACGTAGCAAACCAAGACGTCCGATACGACGATCAGACTATCACCACATGTCTTCACCCCGCCTTAACTCAATAATGACCCTGAAACCCAACCCTACAGGTAATCGTATGTCTGCCAGATGGTAACCTCAGACCAGTTTTGGATTCTCAACTATGGTAGCGAGGCTTACAAAAATATGTCCTAGGCGTCGATCTGTTGGCATGTCGAATGTAGGGGTCTTGAAGAATTATACACTGGATTTGTGGTAGATGATTGATTCAGCCCTAGCCTATGGGGGCAATAATGCGGAGATCCCTTTTCGGGTCCTTTTTTAAGGGCACCGTACTATTCTGGGGACCTAAAGGGGGCCCCTAGTTTAGAGAACTACCTTAGAAGCTGCCCCCACCCTGTAATAGTGACTATAAGGACTATAAGGATTATATTAGGGCCCGATTATATTCCTATTATACCACTATTACAGGGTGGAGGCCCCTTCTAAGAACTACCCATACTATGTTGTTCAGGCACCCAAACGCCCACATGGCACCTGCTCCAGATATCAGGTTCGCCATATCTGAAAGACCCTAGCCTTACCTCAGACGCGAAATCGTGAACCCTAAATAGGATTTAGGGGTTGAGGGTTTAGGCCTAAACCTAAACCCAAAACAGAACATCTGCACCTACAAAGCCCAAGACAAAAGCTAAACTGGACGGCTGTTGAGGAGCTTAGCTGAAGTTACAGCTGCAGGTTTACAACATCAAATAATCAAATAATTTGGCTGCTTATCACTTCTCCGGAAGAAGACTGCCTGAAGCCCAGTAGACCCCATAAAACCTTATAGCCGCCCTTCTAGCAAGTGCTTCAGGGATTGGGAAACGATAGCATCACCCCGAACACTCTAAACCCCAACCCCTAAATCCTGAACCCCTAACCCCACACCCTAATTCCTGAACACTAAACCCTCAAACCTTCCACCCTAAACTCCCAAAGCCAGAACTTCTCAGGAGCGGACACCATTATCGTGTTGAAGAGCCGGGTTGTGGGACTCGCTTTCGACGACTCCATGGCTGCTTTAGGGCTTACAGTTTTCGGACTTTAAAGTAGGGCTCGGGGCTTCAAGCCTACCACAGGTTTAAGACCTGCTAGGATTTAGGGGTTCCACGGCTGAGGGTTGAGGGCTTTGGTGTGTGGGGATGGGCTCCCATGCAAGGCAATGCAAGGGCTCCAGGGTTTTAGGGTTTAGGGTTTCAGGGTTTAGGGTTTAGGGTTTAGGGTTTAGATGTTCAGGGCTTAGGGCTTTGGGTTATACCTATCGCTGCGACTCACGAGGACTGCTGCAAACCATTTCAATTCGGCGGGGTGTAGACCCTAGGACCTTAGGAGTACGGAAAATCACGGAGGTATGACGCAACGAGTGATTGGGGGTAGTACTCGGCAGTAATTACTTACTTGCTAATGCTGGTACTTCTAGTACCGGCTCACTTATGCTACCTATATGTCATACTATATGTTGATTTTTTGGTATTCTGGCAGGTTTCTTACTTTTCGGTCTTTTTGATGCCTTTCTGATCTACGGAGATTCTGCGTGCAATAAGCTTGGGCCGCAAGGAGGAAGCGGGAAAATACGCCCTGCACAGCCCTAAACCCCAAACCCCTCTGACTGGACTTTGAAGTAACCACGAAAAAAAAATATAGACTTTTATTTCATAATGGTTCCTTTAAGGAACAGGTACCAAAAAAGAGTATTTAAGTATGGTAGTCCAAACCCAGGCTGATGGCTTCTTCCTCTTCCGGGCGACGCAGGAAGCGTCCTTCTGAAGAGGAATTCGGGTGCTCCGCTGTCGGTTGTATACTCACCCAAGTCCTAAATGTACGGCTCTGAAAACATCAAAATAATCTTCCTTTATCGTTCCTATAAAACAAATTCGAATAGACCACCACCGCCCCCCCAACTATTAGAATAACCTTCCCTCATACTCCGCATAGGACGAGTTCCAATATGCTAATATTATGCCAACCTCCTGCACCCTCCACCCTAAACCCTCCAAACCCTAAACTCGAGAAACAATGCTTCCGGCTGGAATTCCGGACCGAGGCTGAGCTGAGTTGAGGGCGTTTCAGGGTGTAGGGTTTAGGGTTTAAGGCTTTAGGGTTTTGGGGTTTGGTTTTTAGGGTTCCGGTTAAGCACTGTCCCTATGGCTTCATGTACCCAAATAGTAAAGACTCAGGCCTCCCAGGGCTTCCCATATAGGCACATTTAAGGCCAACATGTACATATTGCTTATACTCTTCAAAAGCACATTGGCAGTTGTCAAAATTAGGGTCCCTTATTGGGTACCCTAAATCATAGGTGCCGTATTAACATAGGGACCCAAAAAGGGACCATAATTTTGACAACCACTAGACCTAAGAATAAGGGTGCTCTTTTTGGTTTAAAGGGTGTTATAAGGAAACCTGAACCCAAAAAAAGGAAATAGGGGCTCACTCTGGGTCTTAGACCACCCACATGGAGCCTAAACCCTATACCCTAAACCCCAAAACCCTAAACCCTAAACCCCTAAACCCTAAACCCTAAACCCAAAACCCCTAAACCCCTAAACCCTTGGGAGATCACGATTTCGGCCCATTGGCCCACGCCAGCGAGATTGCTTCGGATAGCCTTCGAGAGGACTGTTGTCTAGCTTTGAGCATTGCTAACTGGGGCATGTAACAGTCTAACAGTACTCTTTCATAAGGGAACCTGATATAGTAGAATATACATATATATGTAGATATACACACAGTATATCATATATATATATATATATATATGTATGTGTATATATATATATATATACATATATATAATATAATATACTGTGTGTATATATGTATATGTGGAACAGGAAATGGTTCGGGCTTCTCCCAACGATATCCCAAAACCACAACATTCCCAGAGGATGCATGTATACTACCATTGTGGACGTCGGTCCCAAAAGAGCATCATTACTCTGGTTTTAGGTACCTAATTCCATAGTGCCTGTGTATATGGAGCATCTGGATGAGGGTTTGGGGCCTAGGGTTTCGGGGTTTAGTGTTCAGGGTGCAGGGTTTAGGGTGTAGCAAGCATTCCTTGGGTCTCCAGTTGCCAAAGCTGTAGGTTTCTGGGTTACATAGCAACCGACTTCTTGGTTAAGTGAAGCCCTGGACTTTGCCATCTCGCAATCCATAATCATAGTCCCAAAGCCGGACTAAACCCTCAGCCCTAATCGCTATCAGCCCTAACCAAGAGCGAGCAGACCCCAACAGTTGGTACCTTACAATCTTTGAAGTACCTTGGGTTACTCTAGGTACACTCGAACCCCTAAACCCTATAAACCCCATAAACCCTATAAACCCTACACCCTTAAACCCTACACTCCAAAGCCTGCACCCTAAACCCCCAAATCCCGAGCAAGGATGTGAGGTGTGGAGGAGATCTCGCCCTTTTTGGTAAGTAGAATAGGGCTCTTTCAACGGGTCCTTTAAGTAACCAGACAGAAAAAGTTTATAGTTTCATGATGGCTCCTTTAAGAGAATCAATATTAAAGTCTGGTGCTCCAGGGCCCAGTTTGAGGGGTCCTTCAGAAGGGTCTGTAGTAGGGTTCTATAATGTAGGGGCCTTAATACTGAGCATAGGGCTTTGGAGCCCATTCTACTATGCTCGGAAACCATCCCCAAAAAAAGAAGTAGTAGAAGCTATCCAGGCCATATTACCTGCATGTCCTATGACCCCCATGGCGCGCACCTGGAAAAGGGTTGAAGTGCGGCCACATCTGGGTCTACCTACTTTACTTCGAGGATCACGGGACTTTGTAAGTAAGGTTATAAGTACCTTAATTGGTGTTATAAGTATAAGTATAGTTACCCTAGTTATAACCCTAGTTACTAAGTCCCATTAGGGTTTGTTATTTAGGCTTAAGGTAAAAGCCAGAAAGTTGGAATATGATATCTCTTTAAAGTAGTATATACCTTGGCCTTAAAGTACTCCCTAAATAGTTATAGGTACATTGGGCTCAAAGTATATACTAATTAGTCGGGCACATGGACACTTAGGGAATATTCGGGTGGTTCAGGATGAAGAGTTGTTAAGGTCTTAGGTTCTTGGCGAGTTGGGGACTCCCTGCAGGCACCTGCTTCTGTAACCCGCTGCTGCCCTGAAGCCTAACAGAGAAACAGAAGGACGGTTCCGAGTTTAGGGTTTACGGTGTGACTGCCACGGCGCCTATGCCTTGGGATGTTGGGTACGACGGTTTCGTGGTTTAGGGAAAGCGCACCCTAAGCTCCTTAAGGCCAAGTTTTAATGAAACCCCACATCCTGAGATAATTAAAACCAAATCCTGATCCCTGAACCCTAAACCAAACCATACCTAAGCCCAGAGCCAAGCCTGGATATATCGATTCTGAGTCTTCTCGTCTTTGTTCTGCCTGGCAGACCACGGCTGCGGACTTTAGGCTTTAGGCATTAGGGTGCAGGGCTTAGAGGCTTAGGGTTTTTTCAGCGGGCAGAATCGTGCTAAATGCGCAAGCTAAATTCCAAGCATGTCCGGGTAGCGGAAAAACGCACTTGCTGGCGTGCCGCTATGAAAGAAGGCCACGAAAGAGCCGTAAAACTGGAGCGCATGGTGGCGAAGCTCAAGGGTTGAGTGTCGCCCACCATGGCTTTGGGCCGTGCGAAACGGTACAGGGGCGCCAGGCGCCGTGCCCCGCATGTTGCGGTTCTGGCACGTCTTGAATCTCTGCCTCGGCGTAGACTCTTAAACATCTAGGACTCCGGCGGAGATGCTCCGCAAGTCGTTGCCGGGTCCAGTATTCTCCTGTACAAACCTCGCACCTCGACCCTACGGCACATACGGCGTGGAGCGCGCGGATGCCGTGCTTGGTGGCCGTATGCACCGCCAGCCGACGGTAGTCGGCGAATGCGGATGGGCACTGTTCGCATCGCCACGGCAAGTTCTGGCCTGATGCGGCAGTAATGGTGACGGTGTCACACGGTTCCCTCTGCTGTAGGTCATCCCATGGCATTCGCCTTGCCTCAACGCGCTGGCGGATAAACCGCCGACAGGCTGCCTTAGTAATGGCATGGGGGACACGTAAGTGTTCAACGGTCTGCAAGAAGGTCCAATCGCCTGAGGGTAGCAGGCCGATTTCAGTTGCAGCTTGTTGCACCGCTGGCCACCATTTATCGTCATGGGAGAGCTCCTCTAGAGCATGCCACTGCGCGCAAGCTGGGTGGCCGCTCGGAGCCGCTCAACTGCTAGGAGCTCCGCAGGAGTGGGCAGACGCAACGCGCTTGCGAGTTCAAGGCTGGTATAACCCTGACTCTTGATGCCGAAGATGGGCTGGAAGGAGCCTCTGTAGAAGCCGTTGATAGCCCCTACAAGGGTCTCTTCTTCCTGGCGGGTCATGATGCTCCATAGCCCTGAACCGTACAACATGCGAGGAATCACACGGCTTCGGAGTAGATCGATCTTCTCCTCCCGGGTGAGGGCCGGGTTTCGCAAGACCCGTGCTTTCAGGGGTCTGTAGAGCTCCCGTGTCAGCTCTCTGCGGCGCCGAATGGCGGGAAGGGAGTGGCCGTCGGCTTGGATGGTCGATCCCAGATGGTCTGATGGTCATATGTCGCAGTGATGCGCACATGACCTCGCTCATATTTCGAGCTGTAAGGCAGTTGCGGGTCCGTCTGGCAGAAAAGCTGGCGTCGTACCTCGCGGGAGCCAGAGCCGTGCAGGGCAAGGATCGTCTCGGTTTTGCCAAGGCCCATGTTGGCCTGCAGGCCAGCCCCATGCATACGGTCAAGGAAGAAGGACAAAGTAGCGGCCGTTGCCGTCGGGACGAGCTCCGCCGGTCCAACTTCGACCAGGATGCAGACGTCATCCGCCCATGTGGGCGTGTAGCCGGGCGAGTTGGTCGCCTGTGCGGTGAGCCGGGAGTGCCACCCCTGTTCTCGAAGGAATGCTTGTGTCTGTCGGAGCAGATCACCAAACACCAGGGAAAACATGACATCAGCAAGTGGGGAGCCAGGAGCAGTCCCACTGCCGGCAACATAGGCGATGGGTGAATCGTGCCTGGGGACATACCAAGTCTGGTCAAGCTGGCGTTGCAAGTATGCCCGTAACGCAGGAGACATAGCTTCATCGAGCTCAGCGTTGCTGTCCAGCATCCGTTGCACGAATTGCTGTCGGAGGTCCTCAAACTGGAAGAGTCGAGTCGCCCGACTTTCGAGGTAGGTACGATCGCGTCTCTGCGCTGGGGTGAGGGACAGAAGGTCCTTGGCAATGGAATAGTAGGCTGCTGCGGCATCGATGAAGATGACAGCTCCGCTTTGGCGTGTCCGGCGAAGCCGGTGGAGGTGTGCTTTGACACAGGCCGACGGTTGTGTCAGGGCATACCCGGGCCGGCCGCCCATCTGGTCAGGGACGCCCAAGTAGGGCATCGCTTTGAGCAAGGATGGGCGCATGCATTTTTGCAGGGCTTTGTTGTCCCCTTCCAGGAGCATGATTGCTCTATAGCCTTTGTGTTGCGTGCAAGGCTTGCCGGGCTTTGGAACACATGTGGCAAGCCCTCCTTTCCATTGGAAAGGTGAAGGGTCACGGATGAAAAGCTTGCAGGCAACTGGGTAGTACAGAAGGGCCTGTTGGAGGGGACAGGCTCGGTAAGCTTCTGAGGGTATCCCGGAAAGTCCGGCGGCTCGCCCGGTTCGCAAGCTGGCGAATCCGGAGGCAAGGCCTGCCAGACTGGGGAGATCGCTACCTTGCAGGGTCTGGCACGCGGCTGGCTCTCCGGTTCTTTGTCGGACCAACCCTTCGATTGCCATAGGCTCTGCGCGCTCGGCCGTAGCGAAAAACCTCCCGAAACTATCCATAACCTGGTTTTTGTCCATCGGTCGACCCGGTTCCTCCGTTAGGCATGGGAGGAGTGCAGGAGCTCGATACCGTCGCCCCGTACGGAGGATTGCCCGTAGACGATGCGAGAACTGTGCAGGTCCGTCTGCTCTGGCCTGTACTATAGCCCGCCTTGTAAACTCCGCCTTGTCGGTCCACATTGAGCGGCGGAGCTCCTTGCCCTGTCTGTATTGGCGTGCCCAGCGGGCCGCCGCACAGATCCTGGCATTCTCCTCGGCCCGGATGACTGAGGAGACTGGCCTGCCCTGTTGTGCCCAAGCTCTGAGACACATGTGCAAGAAGGCCCGACGCGAGGCCTGTTGTGCGTGCCTCGTACAGCGTCGTAGGTGTCGTTGTAATCGGACCTTGGCCAGTGTGTCGGGTGTCAGGGCGGGATTTCGTGGCTTAGGTGATATTGCCGGGATACAGGACTTCACACCATGGTAGAGGTGCTGCTGCAGGGCATCGACGTGCGCAGTAGTACGTGTTGTCCATGGCACTGGTGGACTATACTGGGCAACCGTGGTGACAGCCTGTGAGCTCTCCGGGATGGTCCAGAAGCGGCAGTCGATTTGGTTGCGGTGCTGCACTGGGGTCGCATCAACCGTGGCCTCGAGCCGGAGAAAAACCGGCTGATGGTCGACGTCTTCATACAAATCCCCGAGCCGCGGTGTTTCCTGCACGGTGCATGTATGCTCCCATTCGGCAGGCATGCCAATATAGTCAATGAGCTTGCGATACCCCTGGGGACTAGTCCAGGAGTATAGCGGAGCACCGTTGGCCAGAAACTGTGGGCTGAGCCCAAGCGCCCGTGTAGTCGCAAATTGCTGCAGGCACGTCGCATTGTGGCAAAGGGGCGTGCAGAGGAGAGTGCGCGGAACCAGGGGCTGCCGGCTGAACGTTGCATTTGCATCCAGGAAGAGGAGCGGAACACAATTGGAGGGTGTTCGATGGAGGGTAGTCGCCAGGTGCCCCACCAGTCCTGTATCACGTCGGCTGCTGTAGTGGCAGGTGGGGCATGAGCGGAAACAAGAAGCATTCGCACCCCATCAAAGGAGCCGAGAACAACAAGGATCTGCGGCTCCTGGTGGACAATTGTGAATGCCTGGCGGTCCCATCGAGGGTTATGGCGCACCCATATTTGAGCTCCGCCTATGCCCTGGTCAGTGCAAGGCGCATGCAGGACCCAATAATCGCTGATCGTGGTGATGCCAGTTTGCCGCTGTCGTGTCTCCTGGAGGCCGGCAATATCAACGGCATGCTTTCGGAGGCCCCTTGCAAGGAGCTCCGGAGCCCCCGGAGCTTTCAGAGAGAGTGCATTATACTGGAGGACACGGAGGTCTAGTGGCACTGGCTTGGCAACCACATCAGGTTCGGGCATGCAAAAGGGCCGCTGGAGATCGTCCGGAGCAACAATCTCGCAGTAGGCACGGTCCCAAGTTCCCGCGTCATTGAGCGGGGGCAGGCTATAGGCGGTGTGTGGGTGTGGTGGCACCAGCCAAAGATGATCAACAACTCCTTCTGCAATAGCCGACCACAAAGTCTGGAATGTGCCTGTTGCCTCGAGGGACAGATTCCTGCCTACAGCCTTGGCAAGACCATCAGCGAGGCCGTTTAGAGCACAGCCCGCGTGAGCAAGTACCTTGTGTAGGTAGAGTCCTTTGCTCTGCATTGCCACGAGGGCACGTACACTGACAGTTGCTCGCGCCGTTAGGTCCCACTCGGCAGTTGCGGCAAGTCCTTGTGCGACAGTGAGGGCAGCCTCACTGTCAGCTCCGACATGCGCCGCTCGGCAGGGTACATTGGCAACAACAGCAAATGCATGAAGGATAGCCTCAATTTCTCCGTCGAAGGCAGACGGCTGCCTGGCATGCATTGGGCCATGGTTTGCTGGTCCTTGGGCGACACCAGCACGTGTGCCGACCCGCACAATTTGTCCCGCCTGGAGCGCAACTATCACAACGGCCCAAGTGGCTTGCGGCGCCCCGTCGAAAAATGAACCGTCAGTGAAGATAAAAAGTTCTTCACATTGCAGCTCTGGTTGCCAGGCAGGGAGTTGGTGCCACAGGCGCAATAGTGAGGCATCAACTGTACGGTATACCTCGGGGGGTTGTGCAAATTGATGTAGATCGTGATCCTCAAAGCAGTGCAGTAAGATGTCCTGGTTGACGCCCCAAGTGATGGCCGGCTGGGACGGAGGGACAAGGTCAGCAAGGCTGAGTTGAACTGTCCCAGCCGGAGTGGCAGGCTGTGGGGGCTCAGGCGTGCTTTGGGCATCGTGTCGCGTGAGCTCGCTTACAGCATCCGGAGGGCCCTGCTCAATCAGGGTGTTGCGGCCTCCGGCATGGCATGCTGTTGTGGAGGGAGGTGCATCCCCTTGACAGAGTCGCCGCCGGCCGAGCGGTGTGGGTATGGCCGAGCCATTGGTCGCGGGACCTTCGCTGTCGCGGACAAGGTAGCGGCCCGATGGTGTTGATATGTGCGACCCGGTATCAGAAATGGCCGTTGCAATGTATACCTGGGGTGGCTCCGGGGGAGCGGCACAATCTGGCACAGTTGGGCCTGCACTTTCGGATAGCACCGCAATTGAAGTTGCAGGCTTCCCGACAAGAGGGTAGGCGAGGGAGGTAGCCGCGCGGGGCACAGGGCTAGCGGCGTCCTTAGATCCATGAGAATGGATTCGCGCATCGAGCTGCAGGAGACTCATGCTCTCTGGTTCTGCAGGGTCAGCTCTGGGCGCCATCTCCTCGTCATCAACCTCAGGGTCCGGCCGGATTGCTGGCTGCTGTGGCTGCGCTGGCTGTGGGGCAGCTGGTTGCGCTGCCTGCGGCGCAGCTGGGGGAGCAGCAGGAGGCGGAAGACGTGGCTCGTCCAAACAGAGGCGCAACACCCTCCCATGATGCCATCGTCTTTCGGGGATGATCCTGAAATTGTGTCCGATCGGAAGTGCGCCCAGGCCGGGCGCGTTCTGTGGTGCCAGCAGGATGACATAATGTCCTGGCCAACCATACGCAGGAAGTAGCAAGGTGGCAAGGGAAGAATGTCGTGCGGAAGATGCAAACACAGACGTGCACCGCTCATGTCTAAACTGAGCCTCAGAATAGGCGATGGAGCACAGCCGGCCAGGGAAGTCTTGAAGCTCATTGACGGCTTCACGCATCTCTGTATGGTCAGGCACATATGCATGTCGAGTTCTGAAGGCTGCTGGCGCATGGCAAGGTCCGAAGACCAGACATCTACCCTCGGCATGTCTATAGAAACCCAACCTAGCTCGACGCAGTCGAGCATTACGAACGATGGGGATAGGCAGACCCCATGTATATGCTTCAAGCATAGGACACGCTTCCAGGATCACGGATGTAGGCACTGAAAGCGGAAAGCCGCTTTGCATCGTTGGCTGAACAAAATCTCCATCGTCGATACCACGCGGGCAGAGGTGGATGGGTGCCCCATTGACAAAGAGCGTCCAGCCATTCTGGTAGCACGCCGGTGTCATGGCAGCATGACAAGGGAGGTCATGAACACTGCGTGCCACTATAAGTGAGCCGGCCCTGGCCAGATGCCTGGTGTCAAATACAGACCAAACGCCGCTGTGGTCTTCGAGCACGACAAACACTGTTTCGTGCGCCGGCGTCGTGGAGCTGGGCTGGGCTTTAGCAAGCATAAGCCTGGCCGTTGGCTGCAAGGGACCAGTAGCTGTCTCAACCCTCCTTAACAACCCACTAATGGCACCATCAATTTGGAGGCAGGGCAGCTGAATAACTGCTTGCTCACAGTGTCGTCCACGGACAATTGTGACCTCCAATGAATGGATTTCGGCAACCGAGTGCCTTGGCGGCCGAGAGGGGTAGTGAGGGTAGTTGACAAGCATGGCAGTTGTAGTGGATGTTGAGGTCAAGCTTCCCGGCACGGGTTGCCAGCTGCTCGGATCAAGGACCGACTGGGTCAGCCCTTGAAAGAGGGCGACTTCGGCACGCACATGCTGCGTCTCCTCAAAGTCAAGAGGTAGGAAGTCTTCTAGCATGCCCAGCGCGTCAACTAGAACTACACGTCCATTGCGCCAGCTCTCCAGTAGGGCAGGTGCTTGTGGCAGCGGCTGCACAACTTGCTGGAAAGCAGCCTCAAGGTCGTGCCCTTTGGGCAGGGCCACGGTCCGTACCGGCTGCTGAATGGGCCGGAGGTCCCAAACCAGAGTGTCAAGTGGTTCAACATGATCAGCCTGGTGCAGGACCAGCTGGGGCAAAGGGAAGCCCGGGACAGGAGCGGTCAGGACTCTGATGCGGCTGATGGTGGCCTGCGTAGCCTGGAGGGCTCGGCCTACACATATTTGCAATGAGTCCTTCGTATCGCGTGGCAATACGCGGACCTGATGCAGGGTGTCAAACACTGTGAAGTGGGTTGTCTCTTCGCCTTCCTTGCCGCCCCACGATAGTTGCACAAGCTCTCTGTGGAGTGCAGCAGACCGGCTCAAGTAATCAGGAACAATCCGGACCTGGTTGGGGCACGGCAGGCCGGTGCCCGATGGCGTGAGCTTGCCAAGGAGTGAGGGAGGCAGTCCGACGTCGGCATCCCCGTCTGGGCGTGGTGCCTGGACAACCGTATCAGCACTGAGTTGCAAGAGGCCTGCCTCGTCATTGGTAGCCTCGCCATAAGCCTCCTCGAGCGACAGGGGGTCTAGGTGCCCTTCAGGAACCGGTGCATATGACAAGGTGAGCCATTGGATCACGGACAGCCTTGGGGGTAGGTTGTCCCACACCTGCCCCTGGGCATCCTGTAGCTGCAGCCGATGGCCGCTAAGTGGGTCCTCTATAGCGGGTCTGAGTTGTGGGACGGCTAGCGCGATGGCTTCGAGCACCGAGGCTCGATCAAAGGTGGGAGGGATCAATAAAGGAAGCACTCCTTGTCCCAGGCCACGCAGATCAATCGGTATGACAGTGGAGCCGCCAAGTTCGGTGCCCTCGGTGAGTGCCACTTGCGGAGTTGGTAGCCCCGGCACTGGCACAGTCAGCATCTGCAGTCGTTCTTGGCGCCCCCGGGGTTTGCTATCTGTTTAGGGCACATGTGAGAAATAGTATGTAAAGCAAATGGAATTAGTATGTTCCATATGTGCATGTTAATGGACTTATATTTCATCGATGTATCACAAAACAGAAAGGTGATTTACTATTTAAAGCGGTCATTTACTATGTTCTTATGATGTTGCCCAAGTATTTACAGCACATAACAATTTTCGTCCAGAAGATAGTAAGTATGATGGGGCAATTAGCCGTATATCTGTAATTGAACTTAGTGGACTTATCACAAGTCAGGCAAGTTAGGATAGCAACTTTATTTTGCATTCACATGGTTCGACATTGCTGCTCATGTCAACATATTTCCTTTGCTCGCTGGCCTCGTTGCCGAAGCAGGGCATGGGAAATATAATGCAGATCATGCACCATGGATGCCTCGCATATCTCGCAAAGTCGAGTGCTCAAGACTTGCAGGTCTCGCAAAGTCGAGGTTGGCCGTGATGTCGGTGCTTTCGCCCGATCTCATCGCCCAGGTGGACAGCATGCTGGACCAAGCCGCTGAAGGAGATCGGTTGGTCCGGACAGTGCAAGACTTGCTCCAACTTCTCAAGCAGAACAACTTGGTCACGAGCATGAGGCTCAGCCCCATGCACGTGGGCGTACACCCGAAAAACCGCGATGGTGCCGGGATTATCGCAGGCGACTGCTTGGAGTTGCTAGAGAATGTGCTGTCTGTCGGATTTGTTCGCGACCGCATCACAGCCCTGGCTGTGGAGATAACGGATGCATCCGTCCGTCGCTTCAACGAGGACCTCGTCCGAGGCTCCGGCGGCCAGCTGGGCGAGCTGGACGGTGACATGCTGAAGGTTGTGTCATTGGCTGGGTCGCATACAAATTTCATGTTGCGATTGTTGTCACAGGGGGCAGCTCTTTCTACTTCGGCGGCTTCGGTGGATGGACGGCTTTCATTAGAGAAAGTGGCCCGGCGAGACCCTGAGCTTGCCAATGCAGCCCGTGAGGGGCTGGTCTGGGATGTCATATCGAGGGAAGTGGCCACAAGATGGCCGCAGTTCCTGGGCCTCGTCCAATCGGCCATGAATGCTACGCTTCAAAAGCAGGAGTCCGAAATGCAGCTCTTGCATCGGGTTCATCGACTCGTCTCGGCCGTGGAGAAAGTTGACTTCTCCAGCATCAAAAAGCAAGCCTTGGCTTCCAAGCCACCTTGCTCGGCCTGCTTACCGGGCATTTTCTCATTCGCAGTCAAGCTCTCTGACTGCATATATAGATTTCATGCCATCTTGTTGTTTACATGCATTCCTGTTTGTGGTGTTGATGGTTTCGCTGAGGTTCTGTGGGGGTCGCGGCGGACACTTACTGTTGGAGTCAGAGCGATTCTTGAGAGCGAGGGGCCAGAGCAAGAGTATGGGTCCTGCATTTTGGGAACAATTGTCGCATGAACCGCGAGGATCAATCGCTATACCGTTTGTCCGTCATGGTCTGCTAAAGTTCGCCCTGAGCGGAGCCCACGATGTGTTTGCAAGCGATCTTCGGAAAGTGTGGTCGAAGGAGGGTTTGGACCAGGCGAAGACGGCGGATTCGTTGCTCTCACAGATCCGTGAGAAAATGAACTCTGCCGGCCTTGACCCGCTCAACAGCCCCGATGCCCTGCACATTCTCGGCATGACGGAAGTGAACATTGCCGCAAAGATTTTGGGGGTCGTGCAGCCGCAGGAAAAGCGCTACAAAAGCCTGCACGGCATAGCTCACGACTGTATGGTTTTGCTCAGCAAAATCAGCACCCAGGCACTCGAGAACCCGTGGGCCGACAAGGCCGAAGAGACGCCTTCGGGATCCGGCGATGCGACCACAGCACAGCCGAGCACGGTTGCCATGCGAGAGTTGCTTGACGATGGAACCTATGGTAACCCTGACGAGGTTATGCGAGAGGCAGGCTTTGAGGTGGGCTGCACGATCAAGCGAAAGAATGACAAAGACGAGTACATCATCCGTGGTGTGAAGAAGACTTATGTGCGAGTGGAGAACCAGTCCACTGGGGTCATAGTGAAAGCAAGCCTCGAATCCTTCATGAGCAAAGAGTGGACAAAGGTCGTTGCCAAGCCGCAGCCCTCCGTGATCGCAGACCTTACCCCCTTCAACCCGGATGAGAGTTTGGATTGGCAGGCCCACGTGTTTGTCGGTGCATTGTTGCAGGAGCTTCAGGGGCTGTGGAAGACGTTTGGATCGAGCAGTTTGCAAGGCAAGTTGAGCTTGCAGCTGAAGCCTTCAAAGGCACTCACGGCAACTGCAGCATTTCCGAAAAGGAAGCTCGTTCTCGTGCCGGTGACATCCAAGATTATCTTCAAAAACCCTGACGACACTTCGGGGATGCCTTCGGGGACACCTCTGCAGACAACATGGAAAAAAGACGGCAGGCTCTTCTTTGCAGTGTCCAGCAATCAATTGCCGAAAGAAGAAGGCGGGCACGGATTCCTCGCCCCGTATTTCGCAGTGCCCACGACTCCGGACGAAGAGCAGGCCAGTTTGGAGGAGTTCATGCACAAGGCTCCTCTCGCAAAATGGCCGTTGTTGCGCAACAAGGCAGCCATCAGCATCGGCGACTCCCTCTTGATCTACAAGCCTGTTTCGAAAGCGGCCGCGGAAGACCTTGAAGAGGCATCCCCTCTTGCTGCGAAACGTCGCCGGCTGAAGATGGGCTGAAGGGATCGCGAGTTTGCAGCATGCAGCTTCTGAAACTATGATATAGCCATGTATATATGGTATGCATGAGAATATGTTGGTGCGACTTTGTTGCATGCTGCTCAAGCAAGCATCGTGTATGAGCGAAGATTGAAATTGCCGGTTTCAATGGGCGGCAATGCATCGGTTTCAATCGGCATGCCTGGACGGTCATGCATATGCCAAAAGAGATTGAGCACATTGCTGCAGGCATATCATGCATGAGGTTGCAGTTTGCAGGCATTTGCAGGGCTATAGCAGCTCGCAATAGCCTCTGCAGTGCTTCATGCATGGCTCATGGCATATGATGCAGCTTCTTTGTCGCTCTGCAAGTTTGCTCATAAGGCAGCTATATATAGAGCCATGCTAGCAACCCTGAGTAAGTAGCCTCGGTCCTTATGGCGGGTCTCATGCTTGAGATGAATCAGATGTGGGGCTTGGATCAAGAAACGGTCCAAAGCAAGCTCCGGTTGGATGTGAAGCCCATTCGAGTCCGAGTGAAAGCTTCGCCAAGAAGCTTGTCCTTGCCCTCAAGGTGAACTATATCATGGTTGAGGGCAGCTTGCCGTGCACTCGGGCATGATCTCCTCGATCGGAAAGAGTGCCGACACCCGAAGCTTTTGCATCTGCAGCTCCAACCACATTCCCAAAGCCGATGATGGCGCTTTTCCGGGCAATCCAGACGACGGCCAAGGAGATTCACTTCATTGTGTACAAACTTTATAAACAAGGATGGAGGTGACTTGCATATGCCAAGTGTGCTCTGAAAGGCTTTCGCATTTTGTGTGTCGAGATTTCGCCATCTAGACGGCTTCCATATATGTGAAGTGTGCTTCATATTGGCCTTTGGCATGTCGTGCCAGAGTTTATATACATGGCGACTTCCATGAGCGATGTGTGCTGTGCAGGAAAGAAAGGATCCAAGTGTGATGTGCATGACATATGGGCAGTTGCAGGGCTCATGAGCTCGCATGCCCCAGGCACATCAATTGAGCATGCAAGCCTGAGGGTGTGTTGCATGTCAGCTTTTGTCCAACAGCATCAGCTCGCATATATAGGCTTCGACGATAGGTTGCCATGGCCTTCAGTGTGCATCGGCAGTTGCGGGTGTTGAAGGGCGAGCAGGCATGGGTCCCGACCGAAGAGGTAACCGTGGACGGCAAGGTATACATCAAATTTTTCAAATGGGACTCGGATCTTGTCTACCTGATGACAGGCAAGAAGCTCTATCTTGCCAAGGAGAAACGTTCCTCCAGCGGCAGTCTGGACTGCGACCTGTGGCAGGATCTGGTGAAGGCTCGCCAGGAAGCCGCGAATGATCTTCTCACGAAAGCAAAGACTGTCGAGCACGAGGGAGGTCCCCCCAAGAAGAAAGCCAAGCTTCAACGTGCAACGAGCAAAAGCATGATCCTCCTTCCCGAGACGGTGGAGGTGAGCTGCAGGGAGTACAAGCTTCGCATGCTTTTGCGAGGCCTGGGTTCCCAGGTGCTCTGGTTGGAAGGCACATGCGAGAACCTGCAATGGTTCTTTGACAACGTGCAGTCCTCTCGTGTCAAAGAGAGGAAGCACAAGAGCAAGGGTTCCAAGAACAAGGGTGTCAAGAGGGCTGCGGGCTGCTGCTTCAGACGAATCTGAGGAAGCTTCTGATGATGAGTGATCGAGTGCACATGCCGGCATCCTTACCAAGAGGATTCCCACCAGGGGCGAGTTTTGCAGCACAGCACGATCTGTGAAGATGTATGTCCAGCTTCAGTTTCCACGGCGACAAAGACAAAATTTTGGAGAGGGAGAGCGAGAGACAGAGGGAGAGAGAAGGGTTTAGAGAAGAGAGGGAGGGAGGGAGGGAGGGAGGGAGGGAGGGAGAGAGAGAGAGAGAAATACATATGTATATGTATATATATATATATAGGGCGAGAGAGAGAGAGAGAGAGAGAGAGAGAGAGAGAGAGAGAGAGAGAGAGAGAGAGAGAGAGAGAGAGAGAGAGAGAGAGAGAGAGAGAGAGAGAGAGAGAGAGAGAGAGAGAGAGAGAGAGAGAGAGAGAGAGAGAGAGAGAGAGAGAGAGAGAGAGAGAGAGAGAGAGAGAGAGAGAGAGAGAGAGAGAGAGAGAGAGAGAGAGAGAGAGAGAGAGAGAGAGAGAGAGAGAGAGAGAGAGAGAGAGAGAAAGAGAGAGAAAGAGAGAGACAGAGAGAGACAGAGACACCCTGAGAAGCGATGCCAGTTGAAGTGCTTTTGTGGCTGTGTGTGTGTGTGCTGCCTGTGCTT